AGGACACGAGGAAGGGAAGGAGACGAGGAGGCATGGAAGATGAGGAAGTACGAGGAGGAGGAGGAGACAAGGAGGATGAGGAAGGGCAGGAGGAGGAGGACGGACAGGAGGAGGAGGAGGAGACGAAAAGGAGAAGGGAGGAGGAGACATGGAGGATGAGGAAGGGGAGGAGGAGCAAGGTGAGGCAGTACTCCTGTAATTTTTTTTTTCATCTCGCTTACAATTTTGGTGGGGGGGCCTCAAACGCACCATTTTTTTCGACCCCGGCCTTTTTTTTTTTTCCCGACGGGGGTGACGGTTCGTTCTCCGCACACGTCGTGCGCCGCGCGTGATCGGTTGGGCGCGTGTGCCGCACGTAGGGAACCGCCCGCACGACGTGCGCTTGCAAGTATGCGTAATAGACAATAAGAGGGTGGAAGAGAGAATCAACGACCACCACGAGAGCAACCCAACATTACCCACTCCTTCTACGGGCTTCCCCTCGCCTCCACGTCATCAAACAGTATCCAGTAACGACGAGTCTGACAAGTCCTGATCACATAGAAGTGCCACGTGGCACTGTTCTCTTGTGAAGTCAATGGAGACAATCAGCAGCGCGCAATATCGACGTCAACCTCAGGTAAGTATCCCGTTCCTCAATTATCCACAGATCCCGATCTCCCTCCTTGCCGCGACCAATCACCCAATGTGGACAGCGTGGCCACTGCCACATCAGCGATGAAGACAGGTGGCATGCACCACATCAGCAATGAAGATAGGTGGCATACGCCACATCAGCAATGAAGACAGGTGGCATGCGCCACATCATCGGAGGCTGGCGCTCAACAAAGATAGCGCCAGCATGTCACCTCAGTCCCGCGTCGTCTTCCACAGTGCCAGCACACAGCCAGCGTCAAGCCAGCCTCCAGCCAGTCTCAAGCCAGCCTCCAGCCAGCGTCCAGCCAGCGTCAAGGCACAGCATAGAAAGACTGAATGTTGACTTCCACTGAATGTCGACTCCCTGGAGACCAACCCACGGTGGAATTGGCCCTCGGCTGTGAGTCAATCTGAGCCACCGTGGGTGGGAGACCAAGCCTTGTGTAGTGTTTGACGAGGCAGACTGGCCCCAGGTCTCCCACCCACGGTGGCTCAGATTGACTCACAGCCGAGGGCCAGGATTGTGTACAGTTACAAACTTCCACTTGGTCCTGATGCTGTCTTGGTTCCTGCATACAAACAAGCGAGTGTGTCTGACCGGTGGCCTGGGCTGGGTCCGTCTTTGACTTCTGTTGGGCCTC